GGAGTCTGCTTCTCCCTCTGACCCTCCTCCCTCTCATGCCCTCTGTCTCTCATTCTCTCTCTCTCAAATAAATAAATAAAATCTTTAAAAAAAAAAATTTAAAAAGAAAATGTTCTAGAATTGATTATGGTGATGGACAAACAAGTCTGAATATAGTACAAGCCATTGGATTATACACATTAAATGGGTGAATTGTATGGTATGTGGCTTATATATCAATAAAGCTGTTTTATTTTTTTTAATTAATAAACAGTAAACTCAATAAGAAAATAAGCAAAAGCCACATCCAGGCATTTCACAGAAGAAAAAACATGTAGGCACAATAAATACTTGACTCAACCTCATTCCTATTTGGGAAAATGCTCATTAAAACCACAGTAGGACACCATTGTATACCCACTGGACTAGCAAATATTTTAAACTCAGGCAATACCCCTTCTCCACAGGTAGGGGAGGTAGAGAAGCTGCCCTGGGGGTGGGGGTGGGGGCAGGAATTGGTACAGACCGCTTTGGAATGTAATATGGCATTATTTTTAGAGAGTTGAAGATGCAAGTGTCCATGACCCAGCAGTTACACTCCTAAGTATATAACTGAAGTTCTCCAGTTGTGTGCTGAGATCACATATAATAATAGTTATAGCAGCACTGTCAAATCGAAAACCACAGAATTATAAAAACGAAACAGCATAATATTTAGGGTTCAGAGTGTATGTAATAAATAAACCTATTTTTAAAAAGCAAACAAGGGAAGGATAAACAGAAAATTCAGGATAGTGGAAATGGGAAGGCAGTGGGAGGGCCTCACAGGGGATGCAGGGTAATAGTAATATCCTTGTCTTAAACCGGGTGGTGGGATGTAGGTGTATATTGTAGGGATGGGGACAGTGGTCCAAGGCAGAGTGCATTCTGACAACCCAATATTCAGCAAAGATTTAGAAAAACTCACAGAAGTGTACATGAAGCAGTTTTTCCATGCAGTTCAACACCGAATGCTAATAATGCTGACCTTAAGTTTCTAGAAAAGGTTAACATATTCAGCATTTTTTATTTAAGACGCAAAAGAGATAAAATGTTCTTATCCAGGAGGAAAAGAAAGGAAGGAAGGAAAGAAGGAAGGAAGGAAGGGAGGAAGGGGAAGGGAAAGAAACTAAGAGAAGTACACAAAAAAGCAGCAGAACAGGAGTGTGTTAGAAAGGTTTCCAACAAAAGTGGTTAAAATGAAAAGTCTTCAAGTTCAAGGTGAACATTTATTTGGCCACAACTTCTTTAGTCTTCAGTAGTGCTAACTAAACCAGACGTTGCTGTAAGTAAAAACCCACACTCTGATTTCGGTCACTTAGCGGTTGGTGTTCTCTCTTTCAGATCCTGCTCACACTAAGAGATGAGCCGCAACTGCATGGAGGAAGAACCTGTTTGCTACTCCCGCTCCAGCAGGGGTGTGGGGCCGAAGCATCCACCAGCACTGCAAGGGGTCCACGGTATTTTTTTTTTTTTTTTTTTTTGCTGCCTCAGTCCCCAGAGCCTTCAAGCAACAGTGGCTGTAGATTGTTGCCAATCAGCCAATCCAGAATTTTACTGAGACGACGGGATAACACATCCGCTGGGTTTTGACTGAACTTGGTAGTGGGGACATTCAACTGATATGTTATATACCCCATCAGAGCACACATGTATCTTTTATCCCTTTTACCTCCCGCCCCCCCAAACCCACTTAGGCTTCCTCTGTCCCTTTCCTGCTACCACACAGAGATGATATAAAAGAGGCTCTTTGGCTATTTGCATTTTGCTTCCTCTTCTTTTCCAGATTGCAGTATTAAGCTTTACTTCCCACAAGCCTAAAATCCCAACATAATCTACCAAAGTTGTTCTTCCCTTTTCCGAGGGGTCGGGGGAAGGGGGAAGCATACATCACAAGCTTCCCAGAGAGCGGAACAAAGTCGGTGTGCTGTTGACCACATGAGCCGTGGTGAAGGCACCCTTTGGAATTACTGATTTCTAAAATTAATAAAGTAATTCTATTTTTATTTTCTTTTTCCATTTACTAATTTCCCAACAATCAGTATTCACAAACAAGCCTGAAGTGGAACCAACTTCTCGTTTTCTTTCATTGCTGGGCAATTTTTTAAACTACGTTTTAGAAATGTGAACTACAAAGAGATGTTTTATTCTTCCATTTGGTTTCAGCAGATCGTGGGTCCAGGCTCTTCCCCACAGGCAGCTCCTGAACCTGGGAAGCTCGTATGTGCACATGTCTCCATTATCGGCCCGCCATGGACAGGTCCTCTAGGGGTCCTCATCAGAATGAGGCGGCACAGCCCTCCCAGACGCCTTTCCACTTGACCTCTGCCCCCTCTCCTCACCTTTCCCTGGTCCCCTCTCTGGCTTCTACTGAAGAAAAGGTTGAAAGGTGGGCTGCAGAGCCCGACTGAAGGACTGACAGCTACCCTGGGGAGTTACTGGGGGAGGATCCAGAGTCTGGGTTTTCCTACAGCAGGGTACTCTAGACTCAGCATTGAAACCCCAAAGGAAAAATGACACCCAACAAGGCAGAGAGAAAAGGGATTTTATTGACTTCTTAGTGAATGCAAACAGGTTTGAGCACATGGAAGCATTTTGTTTGCTTGTGAGGAATGAAGACTGTCCCTTGAGGGAGGGGAGAGAATGTATTTGTGATGTTCCTGGGACTTCTGGTTAGTAGTTTGAGGACCATCTTAACTGTTGGCTAACTTGGTTGTGAATTGGTTAGGAGACAAATCAGAATTCCTTCATGACTTTCCTGGTGATGGGAAGACCCAGGAAATAAGTTATATGGGAGATGCCGCATAAGAACCATGTGAGAAAGGACAAGAGGGTATGAGCCCAGGGAAAGAACCTTGAGACCAACTAGACTGCTTGGAATTGGCCTAGGTAACCATTAGAATTGGGTCCTCAGGCTAATTTCTTACTGCACTCTCCATGTGCTTATCGGCTGTTAAGACCAGACTCCAGATCTCGCCTTCATTTAACCAAGTACTTTTGTGTCATTTTTACTGGTACTGGACTTCGCTTGGTAATAAACGAGACCGATTATATGATTTCCCCCCTCCAGCCACGGTGTCATTTCCAGTGTCCCTCCCTCCCCTCCCCCAGAACAAGTGTGTATCTTTTCAGACAGACAGACAATGGCTCAGGTTTCTGTAGCGCCTCTAAGTGACACGTGGAATGGAAAGGCTGGACTTCAGACCCCCGCCCATATCTGTATCTGCTGATAAAGATAAGAATAGAGCTCTCATATAAAAAGGACATTTGGAATCACAGTGTGTTCTGTTTTCTTTGGGATACTTCGGGAAACATAACTCATTGCCTTGCTTCATTAGGATGAGCCACAGGCCAACATTTTAGTGATTTCCTATGAGGTTGGATAAGAAGGAAGGTTTATTCTGGGGTCAAAAAGATTATTCCCTTCTTTCTTAGTTAAGCCTCGAGGAAGGACCCAGTGCTGTCAGATAGAAGACACTGCTGCTCAAAATGTAGCTTTTAGGCAGCCTGGACCTTCCCCAGGCCTGAAGATATCTCTAGAGCTGTAGCCTGAAATTGTACATTTTTTAAAATTGCTTCTTATTTATTTATTTTTATTATGTTCAGATAAACACTTGGGTGTTTCTCGTGCCCACTGAAACTTGAGAATAGCTGCCACAAGTGAAGAGACTCTGCAGCTTGGGATAGCAATGGCCCATGGCCAAAGGGCTGGGCACGCTGCATCCCCTCTCTGGGCCCGCTAGCTCCCTTGGGTAAGATGGGCCACAGTCCCAGCAGCCATGATTTTAGGGCAGGGATACAGCCCCCCAAGTACAGTGGAAGTAAATGGGTGCCACAGGGGATGAAGCCTGAGAGAGAAGCTCTTAGAATTGGCTGGGCATGGACAAAGCAGGAAAGAAAGTCTTGACCAAACTCAGGAATTCAATTCGGGAGAATTCCGGAAGGAGCAAGATACATCTACACACACACACACACACACACACACACACAGAGGCACCCTTCAACCTACAAACTTTAGCTTCAGATAGACTTTTTCACTAACGGTAAGGTGATCTCAATAGAGGAACATGTTTTTTTGGGAGCTGCTAAATGGTTCCTCACGCATTGCAGATGGTTGCTTCAGGTGGACATTAATATCACAGAATTCTGCATTGCTCTGGGATCTGTGCCCGCAAACAAGAACTATGGGATTGTACTTCCTCGCCCTCTCCCATCCCCAAATCACTGACAAAGGGGTTCCTGGCAAGCTTACCCCGATAACAGAATTAGCCTCATCTTCTTCGGCCATTTACCACAGACAGTTTCTCTAATTCTCAACTGATTGTGAGGGTGAGATTAGATTTTCAAAAATGATGATGTTCATAACTTAGAGGGCATGTACAAACGAACACATTTCCACAGGCGAGGGTTCACCCCCAAATGATTTTTGCCCACAGTTAAATGTAGGTCAAATTCATACAACTTTTTGCAAATCTGAACCACTGCCTCTGTGTGTCTGAGAACAAAATACTCCACAAGAAGGAAGGGAACACAAGCAGTTAAGTCTTCTCAAATGGCAGAAGGCAGGACAGCGTCCCACCATCCAGAGTACTCACACTAAGCAATGCATTCGCTGTTTGAGACTCTCTGCCCCAGGTACCAGTGACCTCTGGTTAGTAGACATGAACGTGGGATTAAGAAAAGAGTAATCAAGGATATTTATCCAGTCAGACTTACACCTTAGAATAGGCTTTTACTGTTCTAGAGACAATCTTCCAGAAGATGAAATGATCCAAGATTCCCCAAAAATATTTATTCATACAAAGATTTTGAGAGTAATATTTATATTTGTCTTTATACCTCAGTCTACGTGTCTGGGGCCAAGTCATCGTGTGGCGCATGTGTGACCTCCCCGCACGCCTCACCCGTTCTAGCACCTGCTTCCAGGAACACCAGATGGACACAGGGTCTGGGGTGGGGGGACCCATAATGCCCCAAGACTGCACAGACCCCAAATCCAAATATGTGTGCCCTGACCTGGAAGGTGTCTAGCCAGATGTCCGAGGGAAAATACGATTGAGGAAGAAAGCGAGAGGAGGGACCCAGAGGGCAGACAGGAGAGTGTTCATTCGCACCCTCTGCTTCTGAGTTCAGCGTATCCAGATGGCCCCATAGAGTTGACGGCCCGGGAACTACATTCCCTGGATTTTTCTCCCTGTAATGACCCTTCGTGCTGTTGATTGATGTTGAGAGGACAATTTGCCAAAATAACAGACTCATCCTTAATCCCAGGTAGTAGGAGATACAATTCTGGGACTTTGTCTAGGTAACCTGTCTGAAGGAAAATGCTTGCCTTGTATAATGTAATCCCGATTCCCTAGAGCAGATGTGGGGCAGCGATGAGCACATCTGACCTCAGAAGTGTCTTCCGGCCTGGCCCTGTCCCGGCCATTCTCTGCCCTTCCTCCTCCCCAGGGTATCCCAGATCCATTGCCGCATGATGCGTCCCGTGTCGGCTTGCCATCCCTCTTCCTCTGTCCCCACCACCTCCGTCTACGTCACAGAAAATCTGTGTATTCTGAAGAGTTGGGCCTTCCCCTAGCCAAACCCACACTTTCTTTACCACAGTGATTCTCAGAGCCAGCACGAAGGAGAAATGTCCCAAAAGGGAACTGTGTCTCAGCCATCTGCCTGGAGCCGAAGGTTGGGGGCTCCAGGCCTCTCGGGGAGGTCTGTTGCCTTTGTGTTTCCCGAGGAGCAGGCAGTCAGGCGGTGGCAGGCCTCTGTCCTCTCTCTCTGTCGCAGGCAGGGTCTCAGCTGCACTTACAGGACTTGACCACCATGTTAGACAGCTGTTCCACCTTGGGGGTCCTCCCAACATAGTACAGGATGGTCAGGGGCTCCAAGTCCTGGGGCACACAGCAAGGCGAGGCAGAGGCTTCCGGATTCAGAGTGTTGTACAGTCCCAGCACCTGGGGAGGACAGGTCATTTAGAGGGCGGCAGGCCAAGCCTCAGGCCCAGAGCCCTCTCCCGTGTTCTGGGGGCTGCTCTTTCGGTTTGGGTAAACACCTGTACTAAACGTGTGAGCATTTTCAGGTTAAGCTGAGAACACCGAATGGGCAACTTTAAAACGGATCATGGAATATTCTCTGCTGTTAAGAAACACTCCTCTGCTGGTTTTGCTAGCTCTAACCGGTCGCTTCGGTGAGAAGGGAGCTCACTGAACGCTGCTTTGGGCCATTTAGTAAGTGCCAGAGTGTGCGGCCCCAGACAGGAGGTAGTCAAGGGTGAGCTATCCGGAACCATGTTTCACAAATGACTGCCCTATTTCTGAGTCCCCTTGAGGGAAAGAAAGGCAAGCGAGTTTCAGGGTCCTGACTTCCCCCTCTCTCCCCTTCTCTTCCCATTGTTTCATATTAGCTGCTTCTGTGTGCTTCGCATGGTCTTTCAAAATGTCTTTTCTATAGCCAAGAGGCTGCAATTCCCAGAGTCCTTCCACCAGTGGCAGAAGCCTTTCTGCCCCCAACATCCCTTGCTAGCTGTGTGCGCACATCTCTGACCTACAGGGAGTGCTGGGACAGTGAGTTAATTTCCAGAATGGTACAAAAGCTTTAGACAGAACAAATAAAAAGGCTGGTTGAAACCATGGAGGACATTTTAAAGGGCAGGATGTGGCAAAGTAGAGTCGGGCCAGGGTGCCAAGATCAGAACCTTCAGCAAAGGGGTTTTACTCGCCCCGGATCATCATTCGCTCGTTCACCATTCAGTCCTCACGCATTCGTGTGAACGTGTCCCACATGGCATGAGCGCCGCTGCGTACCGTGCTGTGGGTTGTGTCCGCGCTGCGGAGGTAGGGACAAGGGCCGGAGCAGAAGTTGGCGTAGTAGCCCTTAGGTTCATGGACCCATTTCCAGCCCAGATCTTGTCGGAAGTCAATGTAGAGAGGGCGCACACAGCAGTTCTCCTCCAAATTGCTACAACAAAAAAAACACCAACCTGAAGGAAACCACCAATATGAAAAACTTCACCAACGGCCCTCATATTTGTACCTGAAGTCCTTCCTGGTCATCCTAAGAGGTGGCCCTAATCAATGGAATCCCAGGTTCAAGTGCATTGAGCAGTATATACCATAAAAGCATCTTCTTGTGTTGAAGACCATGATCCCAAGGACATAATAGGCAGATACAGACGACGCATAAGGAAGAGAAAAAAGGCAAAGATGGTCCTGCCCCTTTTTATATCATAGATCAAAGCAGAGACATAAATTGCTTCACGTAAAACCAAGCACTGGATGTTCTTAGCCAGCTCAGCTTTGTTGAGGGTGGTTTTATCGTTACCTTCCTAATGAGCACCCTGCAAGACATGAACTCTAAGCTCATGCAGCTTACATACTACAGTAGACTGCTTAGACCAAATCTACAGGCCGTCGAATCAAAATGAAGCGTATCCTTCTGTTAGACTCGTGACTCACCCCAAGTGTGATGATCATCAGGCCATTTCAATTCTGTTCCCTGCAGAAATCCATTTGGCAATAACCCTTGCCAAGTGGGCATCTAGCCTGTACGTCAATGTCTGCTGTGACCTAGAACTTACTACTTCGAAAATCTGGCTTCTTGTAGGTTCCATGGGTGAACCATGGCAAACATTCCCGGTTATCTATCTATTCAAAAGCCATTCCTACCTCCCTTCTCCCTTGCCACCTCCCATTACAGAGTCTAGACCACCAGATCCTCATTTTCCTGGCCTCTCTTGTGGGGAGGGGTGGTCATGTAAGCCAGGGACGACCAATCAGACATAAGGAGAAGTATGCAGAGGGTAAGGGCAAATTCTGGCAAAAATAGTTGATTCTTTATAAAAGTCACGGATGGAAGAGGAAAGCTACCAGCTCTGCCTCTCCCCCCTTCTTCTTGTCATGAACACAGACAAGATAGCTGGAGCTTTAGCAATCACTGTGACCGTAAGCAAGAAGATGAAAAGCAAGCCAACATGCTAAGCGTGGCAGGCTCCGGAGAGAGAGCCTGTATTCCCAATGGCATAACTAGGCAGCCAGACCGACCCTGAGCCTGCCGCTACAGGCTTCTTGTGAACAAGAAATCCTCTGTGGTTTAGGCCGCTGTTCCTTGCGGCCAAGAGCATCCATTCCTAACTGATTATGAGCCACACAGAACAAGCCTACAGGCCAGCCTTCAGACAGTTGGCGGCCAACTACATTGCCTCTCCTACACCTTCAAGCTCGACCTCCCTAGTTCGCTCAGTTGCTCCTTATAAGACATGGTTTTAGATCTAAAAATTTCCTAATTCATTCTCCCCAGCTCCGCTCAGGCATCCTCCTCTCCAGCCAAACTGACCCATTCGTGTTCCTTCCTTCCTCCCCCCTTATCCCTCCATGCCCAAACCTCACTCATCTGCACCCTTCGGAAGCCTTTCCTGCATCCACAGATGAACTTTTTGCTCCGGATTCTTAAAGCACTCTATCCTTTGGACCTTCTCGTAGATGTGGTCATTTTCTACCTTTTAGTAACTGCTGTGTGTGCTTTATCATCCCTGCCCTTATGAATGAGGAACTAAACTAAATAAGAGAAGAGGCTCTTTCTTTTTCTCTCTTCACAGTGGCTACCTACCACTTCCGAATTAGTTCATTAATTTCTCCAGCTCAAATTCCCCTGGTACGTGGAGACTGCTCTATTTCCCCTCACCCAGGAGCATCCTTGGACAGTTCACAGGGAACTGAGCACTTCTTTCATGGGAAGCCCTGCATTCGACTGGTGCAGCCCCTCTAGAAAACAGTATGGAGGTTCCTCAGAAAGTTAAAACTAGAGCTACCCCCTCAGAAAGTTAAAACTAGAGCTACCCCCTCAGAAAGTTAAAACTAGAGCTACCCTATGACCCAGCAATTGTACAACTAGGTATTTATCCGAAGGATACAAAATACATTTTTGAAGGGGCACCTGCACCTTGATGTTTACAGCAGCATTATCAACAATAGCCAAACTATGGAGAGAGCCCAAGTGCCCATTGACAGATGAACGGATAAAGAAGATGTGGTGAATATATACAATGGAGTATTACTCAGCCATCAAGAAGATCTTGCCATTTACAATGACATGGTTGGAGCTAGAGAGTATTAGGCTAAGCGAAATAGTCAGAGAAAGACACCATATGATGTCACTCATACGTGGAATTCAGGAAACAAAACAGATGAACATGGGGAGGGAGGGAAAAAAAAGAGAGAAGGAAGCCAACCATAAGAGACTCTTCATGATAGAGAACAAACTGAGGGTTGCTGGAGGGAGGCGGGTGGGGGATGGGCTAGATGGGTGATGGGCATTAAGGAGGGCACTTGTATGATGAGCACTGGGTGTCGTATGGAAGTGATGAATCACTAAATTCTACCGAAACCAATATGACACTATATGTTAACCAACTAGGATTTAAATAGAAAAAAAACGAAGTTCTGCATTCATCTCCCCCACACAAAAACACACCGTAGAAATACTTTACAAAACACGGTAACTACAGAGAGGCTTCGGCCAAGTCTCTGCGATCCAAACTGTCTTAGCAACACTCTCCTCCTCACTTGCTTCAGCCAGGCCCTCACAGAGCTGGGCTGCGGAAAAACGGGGGCTTCCAGAAAAACAGGAAGACGTTGGTAAGAGGTTTTAAATCTTTTTCCTGGAGATGTTTGTGACTAGCATCCAGGACCC